ATTTGGCACGATCTTGATGTACCGCGAGCTTTGCTATTATAGTTGGATCTTATGATGTTTATCCCCCTCTACCTTCTTGTAATGGATTGAGTTTTCCCTTTGAAGTTATCTTATCGGATTGAATATTTAAGGATTTGAGAACACTTGATGTATGTCTTGCATGTGTTTATCTGTGGTGACAATGGGATATTCACGTGATCTACTTGATGTATGTTTTGGTTATCAACTTGCAGGTTCTGTGACCTTGTGAACTTATGCATAGGGGTTGGCACACGTTTTAGTCTTGACTCGCCGGTAGAAACTTTGGGGCACTCTTTGAAGTTCTTTGTGCTGGTTTGAATAGATAAATCTGAGATTGTGTGATGCATAATCAAACCCGCGGATACTTGTGCTGACATTGGAGTATTTAGGTGAAATTAGGGTTTTGGTTGATGTGTGTCTTAAGATGTTATTTTAGTATGAACTCTAGGATTGTTGGTGACACTTATAGGAATAGCCCAATAGATCGATCAGAAAGAATAACTTTGAGGTGGTTTCGTACCCTACAATAATCTCTTCATTTGTTCTCCGCTATTAGTGACTTTGGAGTGACTTTTTGTTGCACGTTGAGGGATTGTTATATGATCTAATTATGTTATCATTGTTGAGAGAACTTGCTATTGGGGAACGTAGCATGCAATTTCAAAAAAATTCCTACGATCACGCAAGATCTATCTAGGAGATGCATAGCAACGAGAGGGGGAGAGTGTGTCCACGTACCCTCGTAGACCAAAAGCGGAAGCGTTAGGTTAACGTGGTTGATGTAGTCGAACGTCTTCATGATCCAACCGATCTTAATACCGAACGTACGACACCTCCGATTTCAGCACACGTTCAACTCGATGACGTCCCTCGAACTCTTGATTCAGTAGAGGATCGAGGGAGAGTTTCGTCAACACGACGGCGTCGTGACGGTGATGGTGACGTGATCCGTGCAGGGCTTCACCTAAGCACTACGACGCTATGACCGGAGGAGTAAACTGTGGAGGGGGGCACCGCACACGGCTAAGAGAACTATTGTTGTGCCTTTGGGGTGCCTGTCGGTGTCAAAACCGGCGGATCTCGGGTAGGGGGTCCCGAACTGTGCGTCTAGGATTGATGGTAACAGGAGACGGGGGACACAATGTTTACCCAGGTTCGGGCCCTCTCTATGGAGGTAATACCCTACTTCCTGCTTGATTGATCTTGATGAATATGAGTATTACAAGAGTTGATCTACCACGAGATCATAATGACTAAACCATAAAAGTCTAGTCTGGCTATGATTATTCGGGGCTATTTATGGACCTAGCCCTCCGGTTTATATAGACATAGGAGGGATCTAGGGTTACACAAGGTCGGTTATAGAGAAAGGAATATTCATATTTGGTCGCGAAGCTTGCCCTCCACGCCAAGGAGAGTCCCATCCGGACACGGGCAGAGTCTTCGGTCTTCGTATCTTCATAGCCCATCAGTCCGGCCCATATCCAATAGGTCGGACGCCCGAGGACCCCTTACTCCAGGACTCCCCCAGTAGCCCCCGAACCAGGCTTCAATGACGAGGTATTCGGCATACAGATAGTCTTCGACATTGCAAGGTGGGTTCTTCCTCCTATGACTTTAAAGTGATGTATTCGGCTGTCCATTTAATGTTGCATCCCTCGGCTTCCGCGCCTTCCTGACTTCATCTTCCATGTGTTGAGTGAATACAAGAGGTCGGGGTATTTTTACATATACCACCCTGACCGTACCAGAAAGGTGCCTATTTAAAGAGAATAGATCTCAGATCCCCTCCAAATCCCACAGAAGAAACCCTCAGAACTTGCGGAGCAGAACCACCCCAACATGGCTAGAGCTCCCAGCTCTTCCTCTCGTCCCCACAACTCCGAAAAGGGGAATTGGGAG